TCAAAGGTAATCATGGGCATTCGTTTTGTTCACCGGAAGATATATAACGTAGTCACGAAACTTTGTTACGAAGTCCATGGAAATCAACCAGACGTCTGTCCTCCCAACCCAACATCAGACGAACGCTTTGAACCATAAAATAATTAACAAAATGCCACCGAATGAAAAATATTAAATATCCTGCTAGTTCACCCCTGCGGATGTTAAACCCAACGATATAAATTCTGATTTTTATAAAAGCATGCAAGCATTAAGATGTCATTTTATTGATTTATGCTTTTGTTTTATCTTGGTGTTCTGATTATCGACCTCTATTAAGTTATTTGGTTTTTCAAATCCTTCTAGTCAATTTTAAATGGAGTAATGAGAATATATTCAAGTAGCTTGACGATAATAACTTTTAATGAAATTATTTTCCCATTGGCGCAAGTAATTACATAATGCTATTGAAATTTTAAATGCCATCGTGTCAGATACAGGCAGTCTAGAAAAAGCAATGGCCATCTTATTTTCAGATGTAAACTTGCTTTTAAATCAGCCTAATTTCGAAGTTGTGCGGAGACAATAAGAGGAAAATAAAAGCAGCTGCAAATTAGATCTGTAAATAAATCACGGGAACATCAAAGTGTTTTCAAATTAGCCATAAAATCTCTTTACAAAGTTGGGATCCGGAGCTAAGTATTTAATTAACATTGTTATGATCTGTAAGTCGAAAGACTATTATAATGCGATTAAGGTAAACCAATTCATTTGTACAAATGGGATGATTATTACATTTCATGGTCATTACTTGATCGGTAATATGATCTTTTATGATTCATTAGGACATTAAAATGGATCATTTCAGTAAATAATGTCCAAATCTGTGTTTGCTATGATGATTCAGTAGGTCGTAATTCCAGCAATCGTGTATTTTCAATAAAGTTACATTTATTTAAAGAAAAAAACCGAATAATTAGACATTTGTTCAAAACATTTTTCACAATAAATAATAGCCTAATGCTCATTAGAAAAAATAGGTGAACCTTTGGGGGGGGGTTATAATTTTTAAAATAATTTAGTATCCGAATTTCACAAGATGCTGTCCATTGGCTTAGTAAGACCTCTCTGTTTGATTAGGCGTTTCCACTCACTTGACCTGATATACCAACTTCAAAGTGTTTAAAACTTATCATAACCAACACGCCATACTACCGTGTTGATCGAGTCGGCATCATACTGAGCTCATTTTAGATACCAGAAACTGCAGACCACTCATTTTCTCCAGGTCTCCTCTCTAACTAATCAAATTAACTTGGTACAATTGTCTCCTTTTATTCTATTGATACAAGGCAGATTGGTAGTTAATCGAAAGTAGAGACTTAAGAAGAGTTTGGGCTAGTTTATCCTCACACGTGACCTTATGCGTGAAGAGTGACAAATAAACGCTTCAATGTCGGCTTTTTTTGCACATTTGAATTCCTTTCTCAAGTTAGATCCAACTCTGTTCATTGCTGGTGAATGGAGTTCAACTCGAAATTTACAACATTCAATGAATTCAATTTTATTCCCAATCCCTGGTATGAAATGTTTTTTGCGATCTACTTGTAGGTAATGCTAAAATTCTACCCACCCCACCCCCTCACAAGGAAAACTATCATAGGGCTATTTGAAATGAATTTGTGAGTCCCATCGCCCCCTTGCACTTCCATTAATCTACTAAAACAAAATTATAAATAAATCCACTGTACGCAAAGGTTGTCACCAGTATACACAAATGAACTTATTAGGGTCCAAATTTTCCTTTTCGATAAAAGTTTTATTGAAACAATAGTCCCAGTGGTGATGTTTGCCAGCGGAAATGATGAGCGGGTTGCAGCAAAGATGGGAGTAATTAATCTTCATAAGTGTGGGCGTATTTTTTACCAAGACTTGACATTCCTCATTAAAATTGATTTCGGATTTGAAAAAAGACCGCCAAGGTAGGATTATTTATTGGGAGATAGCAATTCCTCCATTGATTTCTCATGGTAATATTCACATTGGTTTAAGCCCACATTAACTGGAAAATGTGGTGGCGGGGTGGGGGTGGGGGGGGGGAGCCAGGCTGTTTTTTCTCATACATGACGATTTATTTTTTGAAAACTACGCCCAATCGCACGCGTGTCTCATAGCAGACTGAAGCCGACGTGATGAGTTTTGGTGGTGTATCAGGCGAAGGCTATAGGATCGTGTTAACCATGCTTCAAACGACAATAGCGCCTTCTGTTACGAGGCTATTACCAATGGAGCCTATTTTGAAAGTGAACCTTACGATCCTGCAGGGCATTAGTGGGTTAATAAAGATCACCCATGAAGTTTGGAAGTGGTTGCTCGAGAACGAAAATGCTGATAGACCTCCTCAGTGACATCTTCTTATATTGTGCATGGTGGAGCTTTATGAAACTGGAAAGAGTGAAAGGCAAGTTAATATCCTATCTTAAAGTAGCAATAATGCTATCGAAATTTCCAGGTAAAGATATAGGAGAATATTCAGTTTTATATTTAAATATTTAATAAGATTGTATAGTACAAATATTCTCAGTTAATGCGTAGGCTACTAGAGGAACAATAGAAGACTCTGAATTAAGAGCTTTGAAAGTTCAAAAGAAAGCAAATATATGCGATCCCCATTCCATAGTGAATTAATCCTCCTTGAAATGGGCCAAAAGACCGTCACAAACTTTCTTCGCATCTCCCAGTAACATGTCAGTATTTTCTTTGAAGAAAACAGGATTATCCACAGCTGCATACCCAACTCCAAGAGTCCTCTTCACCATAATGACCTACAAGACAACGAAATCATGCCCATCATTAGTACTGAACAACGAGAAAGGGCGATTATTGGTTGATAAGCTACCTTCTTGGCTAGCCAGACACGTAGGACGGGCATTCCAGCTAGAATTGAATTTGGGTCTTCCTCAGCCGCAGAGTTGACAGTGTCATTAGCTCCAATGACAAGAACAACGTCAGCTTTGGGAAAGTCGGCATTGATCTCATCCATCTCGTAAACGACATCATAGGGAACACCAGCTTCAGCCAATAGCACGTTCAATTGACCAGGCATACGGCCTATAGACGGAATCGTTTAATATGCACATAGTACAAGAATAATATGAACGGGATTGGAGATAATCATTTAACTGCTATTGAGGCATAAGTCTTAGAAATGGTCCTTTACTAATTCGTTTTCCATTTGAAGATTAATGCATAAAATAGAGATCTCTAGAGCATTCCACCAAAAAACGATAGGCCATCTATGTATATATATATGCTGTATTAAACGGTTTGGCCAAAAATGATGAGTTTATTCGAGTTCTTTCTACTCTGTCGTTTGGAAGTCATTCATTTAATAAAGGCTAGCTATTTCAACAGCCATGTACAGACTGAAACACGGACTTAATATAGTCTAACAATTAGATATGCTACTTAATAATAATAAGTAACACAAATTTAAATACACATACCAGCAACGGGATGGATAGCAAATCTAACGCGTTTGCCCCTCTTTGTGAGAAGTTTCACCAACTCCGAGATTGGGTATTGAGCTTTCGCAACACAAAGGCCGTATCCTGGAGCAATAATGATATCTTTCGCTTCTTCGAGCAAAGTTCCAACAGCTTCCAAGGAAGTCTCCCGGTACGTTCCTGTGATTTCCTTGGCCTTGCCACTATGAGTTGATGTTCCGTAACCGCCAAGAATGACGCTGGGGAGAGAACGATTCATTGCGCGACACATGATGTGGGAGAGGATTGCGCCAGAAGATCCGATCAATGCACCAACGATAGTCATGAGGCTATTGTTCAACATAAAACCTTCTGCACACAGAGCCCAACCGGAGTAACTGTTCAGAACCGTGATAACCACAGGCATATCAGCTCCTATAGGAGAATTGGAGTTAAAGTTGTCCCATAGTGTTATTGCATAAATTACTGCCTCAGCAATACTGTTTTAAGTGTTTACTTTTAAATTCTCATTATATTTTTCTTCGAAATAACCTCTCACCACACTTTCAAATTTCCACGCTAACTTTTGTTAAATGCATTAAACATCGCGTTTATCGTGGGACTCATCAGTTCTCTAATTCATTCAGACTTGTTTCACGTAATTCCCTTTTTATACATGGATGTAAAATTAACCCTTTAACACTCTGCATGACCGTACGATCCTGGTTCAAAATAAGGTCCACTGGTACTAGACTCGTGACAGAAGGCAATGATGCCGTTTGAAACATGTTCAATATGCCTACATGCTTCATCTGATACCACCAAAACTCATCAAGTAAGCATCAGTCTGCTGTGAGACATGCCTGAGCACATTGTTCAAAAATAATTTGGGCGTTAAAGGGTCAAACCTCTATTGTTTCCGTGGGCAATGCAATAATATAGAGTGCAGCAATGGTATCAACATAGTCCTACCTCATTTGAATTCTGGCCAAATCAGACTTTCTCATTCACGTTTTGCATGTCATTACGACAAAGAAGTAAATACCCCAGTTCTAACTCCGAATTTAGAACCTTGTAAGTTCAGAACTAGTTGATTACCGAATTAAGTTGTTGAGATGGTGAGCCATCTTGATAAAAAAGGTCTTTTCAAAGAACCAACAAAATTAGCG